TGGAAAGAAAAGCAGTGGGCTAGGTCAGTTTCATTTCACAGAGCAGACCTCAGATGAGTGGCAGCTATAAGAGGACAGATTTTGGTGAAACCAAACAACAGCAACAAAAAAGAAAGAGGAAGAGGAAAGAAGAAAAGAAAAGAAAGAAAGTAGTTCACAATTACAGTTGCTTAAAAACAAGAATATTCCTTGTAAGAAAGTGTCCCATCACTGGAGCTAGTCAAGCATGGGCTGGACAGCCATTGGGAGAGATGTTCTGGAGAGGATTCAAACACTGGAAAAGGAATTCTACAGATTGTCCCTTTGGACTTAAGATTCTGTAATTCTATTTCTTTTTCTCACCAGTTATAGATGGGGCCACTTAGAGAGAGAAGAACACAAACGATGGTCCAAATATCCTAAATGGACAAAGCAGATACTCACTCTTTGAAAAGGTTTCCTTTGAATAAATAACTAAAGCAGATTTTAAATGTTTGTTTACAGGCCATTAACTAACCAAAAATAAAGGGGAGGGGAAGAATTGAAGAGCTTCAAGGTAATGCTCAAGGAACCACTGCCAAATAAAGCCCAACCATAAATGCAGAGCTGGCATCAGAAAGAATGAAGCCAAGGGTTCAATTTACCTACAACATTCCTCAAATGCATCTACTTTTTCAAAAGATTATTAACATAGACGGATTTCATAAAAATCACAGAGTTTGGAAACTTTATTGTCTTATGTTAAATCACAAGGCTTCATCCTCTCAATCCCTCAGCTAATATCAATCAATAGATTTAGTTTTTCGACACTTTCAGAGATAGGCAGTTGAGCCCTGGCTGAAGGTTATCTTAGAACCTATCGCAAGAGAAAACAAGCTCTGCTGAGCTGGCAACAATCCAGATTATCATCCATTCCCCTTCCAGAACCACAATAGATTTTAACCAGTTTTCTGTTTTATAAATATTACCATGGCTCAACACATCTATGAGGAGACACAACATTACCCACGGCTCTCATCCTGTTTGTTAACTAATTATCTCAACAACCTGAACCAACCTAACCATATACAAAAACACAGCTGATTTAGCAATCTATAAATTATACATGTACATAAATTGTACCAAAATGTACTGCGTTTCACTCTTTCTCACGTGCATGGATTCTTACTGGCACCTACAATTGTTTGATATAGGTTCCCAAACACTAAAACATATGTTCTGCCTAGAATGGGACCATTTAGAGTAATATTTTTGTAGTTTCCTGGCACCAAGGTCTGCCAGCCTTTCTAAGACAGATCTCCTATTTGCTTCAGTGAATATTATGACGAATGCCTGCAGATTCAAGCAACCATCAAAAAATATTCTGGAACAACACTCTCCAACCACGAAGATAAGGAGAAACAGGCTGGTTTTTCCTGTGTGGCAACAAAGCCAATAGGAATTTAAATGGTCACCAACATGATCATAAGCAAAATCAAATCAAATCTGGGGTATTAATTATTCCTGCTGACTACTTACAACCATCCAAAAAACATATAATTATCAAATCTTTCCTTCAAATATTATTCAAAATGTATCAAAGAAAGTTAAAGTAGATTTTCGTGCCAGCTAAACCAGTAAGCACCTTTAAAATGTTCTTTAGCAGCCAGTCAACACCATAGAATAGGGGCAAGAACCTTGGACCAAGTCTCACTACAATGTAACTTACTAAATGTAAGGAAGGTTTCTTGTTTTCCACTATATCCCCAGTGTTCAATAAATACACTTAATAAATCTTTGTTGAATGAACAAACCAATAACAACTGCTGATTAGTCCCTGATCAGCCTCTTACTAACTGAAGGTACATCATTTAACCTAAGGATGCTTAGTTCCTTAAACTCTAAAATGGAGACACTGAACCTCCTCTGTTGGCTTATGAGGATCAAAAGTGATACTCTATGAAAGTGACTTGGTACTTCAGAGCAGGGCACAAAGATGTTAAGTGCCAGTTATCCCGCCTATTCTTTCAGCTAAACCACTGCCAAAGGTGAAAAGACTGCACTTCCTTGAAATATAATTAGCCTCTCCTTTGCTCTGTTACTATGTTTGTATGTGGTAGTGAGGCTGTGAGCCAAAATGGATATTGTTCTTGTTGTTATAACATTTTATTTAATTTCCACTGGGAAATTACGCTTCTTGAGAGAAAATAATATTTAATACCAGGAAAGTTTTTGCATGGTGTACCATAAAGAATATGACACTAGAGTCAGGGGGCTTGGCACCTCATAGTTCTGACCTTAGGCATCTGAGAAAAGTCACTTGCATCAATTTCTTTACCTATGCAATGATGGGGAAGAAGCGATATAATAGATAATACCTCAGGTCTGTCTCATCCTACAGTTCTATGATATTCCATACACCAGATATTCAAATCCCCCAAAATAAAGCCAGTTCTATTATCCATTAGCATGTAATATGAGTAGTTTTTTTTAAGGATGATGAAAATAGTTCCACAGATGAAGTCACAAGGGCTGGAAAAACAATGGTACTACAATGATACTGCAAAAAGGATGTATGATATCCTGTGAAGAACACCAGCCTCAGGCACTATCTGTTCTGCCACTTTGAATAAATCACTTAATATCTTAAGTCTCAGTTTTCTGATCTGTAAAAGAGGAACAATAATACTGCACAGGACCACTGGGAAAAAACACCTAATAAAATGATCATAAAGTATTGCCATTTAAAGGTAAAATTCTATTTTAATACTGTAATGTTCCAAAACAGTCTTGTGGATTTTAGGATGAGATAATCAATATCTTTAAATAGACTTTTTCCATCACAGTAAAATAATGCAATGCATGCAGATATTGCAATATTTCTAAGAGTTCACATTTTTTATTCACTTGTGTTCAGGAAATAATATGAAAGGGATCACTAAAAGCTTAAACCTCACATTTCAAGATCAGAACCTTTTCTTCTGAAATAACAGACAATTTTAAAAGTGCATCCAACTCTCCCAAGATGTTTTGTTTTTGTTGTTGATGTCATTAGTTTGGTTGGTTAACTGAAATCAAACTGTTGGAACTGGTGCTGAAATGAAAATGCAAATGTTAAAAATATTCCCAGAAACTTATTCTACTGACATTCTATGTAGGCTCACAGAAGGGAAGTGACTCTAAGATCAACTAAACTAGAAGATATTCTGCCTTCTCAGCTCCAGGATTCTTAAGGTCCTCCTATAAACCCAAGGAACCTTGTGACTGTAATATGTAAGAGTCTCTTCCTCATCACTTCTCAAAAACAGACGGGGTATATATTAGATACAGGGTTTCCCCTCTAACTTAAGGACACTGCCTCTTCACCAAAAAACAGAATTGTCATTAACATCTATAAGAAAGTTGATGTCACTGACAATGAGATCCCCAAATCGGCAAGATTGTCTCCTTACCCCCTAACAGGCCAATAACAATAGCAGTAACAGCACAGTAATTCTTAAATAGTGATTTTATTTAAAAATCCATGAAGATCTCCAGCTTTTTATGGCATGAGAGTTCACTGCAGCTGTTCATGTAGCAATTATCACCCACTTGCATCCCCAGAAATGGCTGTGACCTTGTCCTAAAAGCCACCTTAGTTTGCATAAGGAACCTTGAAGGGAAAGGTGAGTGGCTAGAAACACTCTTAGTGTTAAGAGGCACACAATAAAGACATGATCATTCCTAAGAAAGTGCTTAAATAATACATGATGATTTGCTATTCCAGTTGATAAGTTTTTTATAAGATAAACTTAAATCAGTTTTTAATTAAAGTGTATGTATTAGTAGCATAAGTAACTTTTCACGCCCTTCCCCTGAATTCTTAACTAAATCCAAATAGAAGCTCATCGTTTTAAACACATGCTCCTTAAGGCTCTGAAACCGTAATATTTACACATTATTAAAACCCATTTCCTGAGTTAGCTCCTCACGTCCTCCTGGTAGAAGAATGTCATCTGTTTCTGGAAGGAGAGGGGTCCAGGAGGCTGCAAAGAGCATCTCAGGGTTGGCTCTCAGTGCAGCCGTTTGATGAACTGGTGTACGCTGCACCTTCCACCTGCACGGGCTCCTATTTGCTCTGCAAGTGCTTCAGCCGGGGTCGCTCCCCTGTGGTTTCGAACGACGTTTGAAATTGTTCCCTTTCCGTCCCAGGATTCTCGCCTCCCAGCGCTTCATGCTACTTTCCATCTTAATGCCGCAGGAAAACCGATAAGTGCTGAGAATCGGTTTATTGGGTAACGGATCGATTTATAGGCTTGGTGAGTTTGGAAATTTATAGATGAGCAAGACTTAAGGGTGGCATAAAACACAGCTGTGGGCGTCTAAGAGAAGAAATAGTGTACCTGTGACCACTTAACCGTCTCCACACCTGTGTCCTCCACTTCCCACTGAGTCTGCCCCTTACGAGCCTTAACTTAACCTCGAAAGGGATGGGCGGGTGTTTAAGGGTTGAATCAGGCAGCCGACGGCACATCCCTTGGTCCCCACGTCCCTACACCTCGGACTTTTCAGCTGCAGGAATGACTGTCGCATCCTCCCTTTCCAAGAGGGCCGGGACCTCTAGCTGCAGGTCTCTACTGCCGGCTCTCCCTGGGCAGAGGTGGCGCCTCGGGGAGCAGCCCGAGCCCGGAGAGCCTTCGCGGAGAGGCGGGCGATTCCGATGCGGAGCGCGCCGCCGCTCCTGCTGCGGCCAGCGTCCCATCACTTTTCCCTGTACTTTGCTCATCCGCTGTCACGCTCCCTTGGAGATGAGACCGAGAGGGCGCGAGGGAGGCCCGCAAGGCGTCCCGGGAGAGCGCTCCTCTTGGGACAGGGGCCCATCAGACCCCGCCCCGCCCTGCCCACCTTTCCCTGCCTCCGCGAGGCAGCCCGGGCGCCCTCGCCGCGGCTCCCAGCAGAGCTGCGGGCTTCTGCTGCATCTGCGGGCGCGCGGCGGCCAGAGGCGTCTCAATAAAGACACGGATAAAAAGCCCGGGCCACCGAAATCCGAATGCACCTCTTACCATTGGACCGCCGGACGATATTCTCCAGAAATGTGTTTTGCGGGGCCACCAGTCCCCTCCTGCCCCCGGCCATAGTCATCCTCCCGGCGGCTCGGGGTCTGGGAGGCGTCCCGGCGCGGCTTCTCACGGCAGCAGGAAGCTGGGCGCGGGGGCCGCGTGCGATCCCGGCTCGAAGCGCCCCATGCGCCCCAGGCGGACCCGGGCGGGCAGGGGCGGTGGCTCCCT